CGTCTACGCACGCGTGTTAGTACCTTCGGTGAGATAAGTATTTGCCGGTTATGTGTCCGGTTCCATCGCAGCCGGGGACCGGGCACCTGTGAAGCACACACAAGCAACAAGCACTGGTTAGTGTCGGAGGTTAGTACAAACGCATGCACACTCTCAGATGCAGCAAGGTCCGGCAGCGTGGCAGCCAACCGCTCTCCCTCCCTCCCACACGTTTCTCTCCCACTCGCTATATTTTCACGCGTTTCCCTCCCACTCTCCATCTTTTCACCCGCTCTCCCTCCCACTCTCCATCTTTTCACCCGCTCTCCCTCCCACTCTCCATCTTTTCACCCGCTCTCCCTCCCATTCTCCATCTTTTCACCCGCTCTCCCTCCCACTCTCCATCTTTTCACGCGTTTCCCTCCCAAACCGGAAGTAGCACTGTTCGAGCCACTTCCTGCGTTTCACCCCCTTTCTTCATCCCATACTTGAGATAGCATTGCCCATCTGGTCTCCCTTTCCGCTCCAGGTGGCATTGTGCTATCCTGAATAATTTCGTAATCCTCACACTATATGTCGCTACATCTTATCTATATTATATCTATATCTTTCGACACTGACAATTACTTCACATACAATTCTCATCTCTCTACCCATGAAATCCGCTTAATATCCGCCTTGCGGAGTCTAACTCACGTTCACTCTTCCAAGAATATTCCTGCTGCTCACAACCCATTCCGGATCCACATCCAACAAGGAACCAGCATCCCTTCCTTATATGAAGCCGAGGCACAGAGCCCTTATATTATATATATATTAATATATATAATATATAATTTGTTATAATATATATATATATATTATTCAGGCTCACAGCTCAACCACAGTTAATTAAAACGAGATTCCGAATTTTCTTTTTTTTTCAACAAGCGTGACCACAGCAAAACCAAGGGGGGCATCAGTATAGCGGTTAAACCGCAACCTGAAATGCAACGCTGGACAGCTGACGCGGGTTCGAAGCCGAAGAAAAATGTGTTACAGTACACTCCGCAATGACGTCAAAGCTAGCAGTCGATCTCGTGACGAGTCAGCACTGAATGCGGTAATGCAAATATGGCCACGAGCAAAACCGCGATGATCAATACATCAACCACGCTTCTAATTACTGCAGGGCTTCACCCGATTTTCACTGCGATTATACGCCTTCAAATTGTCTTCAGCCAACAGCCAGGTCTATGCCCGTATTATTCTGCCATCAACAAAACGCACCAGATTAACGCCTCCACCATTTTTACAAGCGTGCAACACGTCGTTGCAATAGCAATGTCGGCTCCTCTGACAACACGCACGCCACATGCACCACACACGCACACACGCACACGCACACGCACACGCACACGCGCACTACCGCACACGCACTAGTATCACACGCACACGCCACAAACACTACAACACACATTGACACCATCACACATCACACACACACACACATCACACATGTGGCACCAAGCCCCCCACACAACACTAAACACGCACACACACACCCCACACACGCGAACACCACACTCACAGCACAACGCACGACGCACACGCAACACACACACACACACATACGTCCGCATCTCTAATGCTACACCACAAGCAGTAACGACACCCATTTACCTATGCAGACGTCAATCGGTGAAATGCGATTCCTAAACAAACCGAACACTCTCATTCATTCGCTGTGTTCCACCGCCGACACGAGCTACTAGCCCTATGACTAGCCATACAACCGCACATCAGTTTTGCATCGAGCTCCTACAGTCAGCTGGTTATTGATCCAACCGACTCATTACTGCCTGTCCGCGTGACGTATACGACACCAGCTCCCCCTGCTGCCCGCATTTTCAACATACCCAGGGGGTTAATAATGACAAATTTGTCATTATTAAGCCCTGCCCATACAGATGCAGCTGTATCACACGCCTAGCGACGAACTATATTAAAAGATGCCGCGGGGGAACGGCGCTTAAGATCCGCGAAAAAACCGGCGCCTCGAATGGCAGCTTTACGCGACATTACAGCATCGCCCGCCCCTATGCATCGCTGGGAACATCCCCCACTTGAGCTAGGGGGTGACACCTGCATTTAGGTACGCAGATGGAAATATCCATACTCAGGTGAGACAACTGCACCCAGGTACCCAGGTGAGAATACCTGTACTCAATATGTGGGTGAGAAAACCTGTACTCAGATACGCGAGTAGATATACCTATACTCAGGGTAAGAAATGACCATAGCGTCGAGGTAAGTAATACCATACTCGAGAAATAATACCCTATACTCAGGTAAAGAGATACCCATACTTCAGGTGGGCCAAGGAATACCCATACTCGAGTAAGAATAACCCATACTCATAAGAATACCATACTCAAGCGTGAAGAGATACCCACATGTATGGCAGTGGTATACCTGTGACTCAGTAATAATCCCATTACTCAGGTAAGAATACCCATACTCAGGTAAGAATACCCATACTCAGGTGGAATACCCATACTCAGGTAAGAATACCCATACTCAGGTAAGAATACCCATACTCAGGTAAGAATACCCATACTCAGGTAAGAATACCCATACTCAGGTAAGAATACCCATACTCATGTAAGAATACCATACTCAGGTAAGAATACCTGTATGCAGGTGGGAATACCTGTACTCAGGTAATAATACCCATACTCAGGTAAGAATACCCATACTCAGGTAAGAATACCCATACTCAGGTAAGAATATCACCATACTCAAGCGTAAGAATACCCATCTCAGTAGATAACACCCATTACTCAGGTAAGCAATACCTGTGCGCACGTGTGAATGCAATACCTGAGTCGGCTGCGGGGGGCCGTCATCTCTTGGAGAGGTGGCTCTCCTTCATGCGATTGGCTCGGGCGGGCATTCCGCCTGGAGAGCTCGAGAGGCTGCGGGTGCCGACGCGTAGTTACCCGTCACTGACCCCGAGCCCCGTCAGCCATTCGGAGTTGCACGGCAATAGGCTCTTACTAACAAGTATTACACCCTGTCGGTCGCGACACCTGCCACACGTATCCACGGCGTAACGATTAACACCACACACACACACACGCACGGCACGAACACACACACCACACACACACCACACCGCCACACACACACACACATCACACAGCACACACAAACTTGTCACGCGATCGATGGCGCCGCCGTGCGCGTCGGTCGCCGCGTGCTGCGGTGGCGCCCCCGCTGCGCCTCTCATCGACAGGTTGACCGGGTGCAGGCCGAGCTCGCCGTATGCGAACGCCGGCGACGCGGGAGGCGGGCGGAAGCGCGTCGCGCCGCCTTTGCTCAGGATGTTCGGCCGCTCGAGTTCCGGCTTCGGCTTCGGTGGCGCCCCCTTGCAGCCACCGTCGTAGAACGGCTTACCGAAGGCGGCGTACTGCGCGGGCGCCGTCTCCGCGCCGCCGCTGCCGCCGCCGGCCGGCTTGCTGTACTTCTCCAGCTCCCGAGCGAGGTTTGTGCGCGGCGTCGCCTGCGGAAGGTAGCCGCCGTTGCCGTTGTCGTGGTAACCGGCCGCGCCGGCGCTCGCGGCAGCGTAGTCCAGCTCTAGCTGCTTGATGTAGCACATTGGCCGCAAGACGCGGTCCGTCCCTGAAACATGAGCGCATCGGCGACGCGTGGTTAGAGCGGTGCAGGGGAAAAATCTACTTTTTTTTCACGGGAGCTCTTTTTCAAGTCTGTGGGAAAAATAGCTCTAGTCTAAAATTTTACGGGAGCTATTCTGAGCCTCACGGGAGCGATTTCGGAGGTTTGAAGAGCGAATCGCTCATCGCTCCCATGTATTTTTTTACCCCGGAGTAGTGTTAGAGACAGCAATGATGCATGGCAGGATTAGACAGGTGGTAGAGTAGACGGTGGCGCCACGATGAACGGTGCGGTTTATGTTGGCACGAGTAGACAGTGGCACAACAATGTGGCATGGGTAGAGAAGTACTAGAGTTGGCAGTTGTAGCTTGGTGTGCAACGGGGGTCGATCAGTGTTGACAGTTGAGCCGCCATATGCAGTGAAAAAGTCAACAGGCATGCCACCACGCACCGCAGCGCGCGTAATCGATTGGAGAGTTGATGGGAAGTGATGCGTTGGAGTGTGTATGTAACGTTACATCAATCGCATGTTGTGTACCTCCTTGTGCAACGGCTGCAAGCAAGCACGCATCCCAGCGAGGCATGCACGTTCGCTGGCTATTTGCTACTTACCAATCCTCCACGCGCAGCATTAATTAAGATTGATTAAACACGACTAAATTAAACTGTATGCCATTTTCCCCACGCCAGAAAATGGCGCGGGAATCTCTCGTTACACCGCATACTGCGTTCGAGTCGCACTAGGCAGTGTCACGCAGGGAGCAACACTTCAGTCACCGAGCATGACCGAATGACCATCGGTCAGTCGGTGTAGACCCTTGCGGGGAAAGAGCCGGGGGGCACCTATGTACTATGTGACTATTGCGACCATGCGACGCATACATGCACCACCCATTCAATATGACATACATGGGATAAAATGTGATCGGATCCAGTCATTGTCGTCGTCTGTCGCCACCTCGTCACATTCCGACGTCGAAACCTCTCGTCGAATCTTTTTCGGAGGAGATCCTGAGACAAAGTTCGAAGAAAACGTGCAAAAAATAAAATCACGACGATTCATGCAAGCAAAAAAGAGCGCCGCACAAAACGGTAACGACACCAAGTGCTGTACTTTGCTTTCCATATTAGTAGGGGTTAATAATAACAGAAATTTGTCGTTATTAACCTCCTGATATTAGTCGAGACATCACGCTTTGTCCGACACGTGAAAAGTGCAAGAATGTACTGCACAGCTTCTGTAGAACTGTGAGTGCAACGTGAGACCACCAATGCACGTAAACCTGCAATGGCATTTGCTCGGTTCACTCGGTTAAAAAAGTAAGTAATGAAAATTGTCCAATATCCATCCGATTCAAATTTTTTCATCAATTTTTTTTTTCATGAATATTTTCCAATATCGTCCAATATTTCATCATCTTTAAGACTAATTATGGAAATCAAAGACAGCATAATGATAAGCAAAAACGAAAATCACAAAATGCACAGGGGCAGTATCAGCGCATGCAAGGATAACACTGTATATAGCACCCATACACAAATGCAGTGGTGACATCCACTTGTCCACTCTAATGCACACACTCACTAACACAATATACACATCACATATCAAAACTGGAAAGGTCTTTTCTTCTCTTTGATAGCTTTGCATGATTACTTGCATAACGATATAAACTTATTAGATTTTTCGACATTTCGTTCGCGTTTGTAATCAGTCACATAAATATTTCTCCACTTTTGACATGCTCGAGTTAATAACATTAGTTGTGTTCCACAGAAAGGACATGACACGTCCATCGAGACAAAAAGCTGTAAATTGTTTATACTCGGCACTAATTTAATATTTGTATTTCACCGTTCCTGTCGATTTACAAAGGTAAACATTGTAACACTGAAATTGATTGCAGTGGAGCAATTAACATTTATAAAAAAAATGGCAATGTGTGTGCATTATTTAGTGCTATCACTTCAGCTATCACTAAGCGCTGGCAGAAGACACACGACAAGTAGAACATTGAAGCCGTGGGACCCACCTTTCTTGTCGTTCGGCGATCCCTTCTGTTTGCTTGCTGCAGCGATGGGGCAGCCAGAGAGGCTAAGTCCGAAAACAGAAAGAAAACACAACAATTAATGACAAACCGCTTCACTCGTCGGTGCGAAATCAGAACAATATTACGTGCAGGCAAACCTTAGGTAGAATTCACGAGAAGTCAACTGGTAGAGGGAGTTCACAGTCTCCACAAAACGTTGGGTAAAGTACAAAATACAGATGTGGACCAGCTGTACATGTGGCATACATCCACTGTATTACTCCGCATAGAAAAAAAAGTTCAACAAGGTAATTAATAATAATAAAAATTAATAAGGTAATTATGCATACCAATAGATTAAATACGTTTTAAACTTCTTAGACCGTCAACAGACTGCTGATGTTAGAGATTAACTGAACGTTGACACCCCCCTCCCCATCAATAGACATACAATACAATACAATACAATACAATACAATACAATACAATACAATACAATACAATACAATACAATACAATAC